TGTACCTGACAAAAAAAGAATCTGACAGTCAGGTTAGCACTCCTAATCTTTGCAAAATAGTACCAGCCAGACTAGAAATAACTTCAAATGCTCAAAATGACCTTGTTTTTCTTCCAATCCCTAAAATGCTCAGAAACTCAAAGCTTCCAAGCATGTCTTGCTCCAGAAACAGTGAATGAATTGACAGACACATCCTCAAGGTAATTTACGTATTTCTTCCTGCCACTACCACTGGTTATCCAAATTCAGTTGCAGTTGACATTTTAATGATAATAGCTTTCTGTTTGTATATCATCTGTGAAAATGTTCCCATTCTTCTTAAATTCAGTCCCCGTAAAAGGGGCACTTTAATGTATGCAGCCACACACCAAAATGATAGTAATTTTCTCTTCTAGTTGAAATGGTTTAGTAAACAATTACATTTCAATTAAAGCCTGGATGATCATGCCGAGGGAAGCACCATTCAGCTCTTCACATAATACAGGAAGATAAAGTCTCCAAAGTCAAACTATTATAATTTACACGACTGTTTTTGAAAAATATAATTTAAAACAAAAAGGAAAACATGCACAGGCAAAAACTTGGGGAAAAAATCCTTCAATATCACGTCCACAGCAGCTTGAACTAGGATCCCATTATTTAGGATTATGTTCAGTGAAGAGGAATAGTAGAAGGGTTCCTCACTTTCATCTCTCCAGGAGTTTCCATTTCCCCATATGCCATTAGTATTTAATCCTTCATTTATCAAGGATTAAAAACAGGATAGATGGAGGAATGCCATAAGAGCAGCTTATAATGTATCACTATAAATTCTGCTGTGTACCCAACCCAAACCAGCAGAAAAACTGCTGGAAAATAAGTTAATATTACAAGCAGAAGAAGAACTAAAACCTAAACACATTTTCTTATTTATTTGTGACTATAAATGCTTCATTATTAGAGGATCTGAAAGTCAGGGACAAATGAACCAAAAGGACAATTCCTGCTCCAAGACCCCACACTCGAAGTGCAGGACAACAGACAATAAACAGGTGATGAAGGAAGATGAGAAAATGAGATGATTCTCAGCTTCATGACTGACAACGAGCTGGGGAAAAGTGTGTTTATACACCTGGATTTGGCCTTTGAAGCTTCTTTGAAAATTGTTTACCTTCCAATCCAATTCACACAGTTCCATGGATGGACAGTCTGACCATGTAGCTTATAGCTGCAATGTGCTTTGGGTTTATTTTGTTGCTTTGTTTTGGGGTTTTTTGGTAGCCAATGTGGCTGCAACCAGAAGAAGCACAGGACTGTTTTTTGAGATCCTGGAGAGCAAATGATTGATACTAGAATTGAGGATTAAAGCTCTGGAGAGAAGAAAATCCTAAACCCTATTAAGTTTTTCTGGGTAAGAAAGGCAGAGAGCCATGCTCAAAACATGTAAAAATATTCAGACTATAACTGTTATATTAATTCACTCCATTTGGAAGGAGGCTTCTTGCACACACAGTGAGGTAGACTAACAGCATGAAATCAGCCTGGTATCTTGATCCAATCACATAGTCCAACTGTTTTGCACAAGTTCTTAACCAATTTGGCCTTGTGCTTGGCCTGGGGTGTCTGCAGAGCAGTAAATCCATCCGGCTCTAACAGAAGCAGCCAACAGATGGCAGCACCCTAATGAGATGGGCGAGAAGTCCCCACACGACCAGCCTCAGCAAGCCCACGCTTGCTCACGGTTTCCCTGCAATGGGGAGAGCAGGAGGATTTATTTATTACCCAGCAGAGCTTCCATTCTTCTGCTTCCTGTGTTTGATAAAACACAAAGTTCAGGTTTAACGCACCTCACACCTGAGCCTCTTTGGATTTAGTGCAGAGGCTAAATATGTCCCTGCCTGCTCCTGCCGGGCACTGCCAGGCAGCCCCAAGGTTCAGCACCTCCCTGGGCAGGCAGCAGAGCCCAGCCCTTGCCCTGGGTCACACCGGTGCCTACAGCTCTGGTGCTGCTGCCAGTTACCTGTTCTCAGTGGAGACAGCTCCAGGTCACTACCTAAGCAGGCAACATTTTAACCAATGTGCTAAGTCAAACCTTGTCTTTCTTTTTCTATCCTTAGATATTGACTTTTCTTGAAGCACTTGTTAATTAGGTGTCTCTATTCAAGGGGCAGAATCTGACAATTAGGACTGTTTCCAACAAGACAATTTAACTCTAAAAATGTCTTATGCAAATGTGTGTGAGGACAGTTAGTCTCTTCCGCGAATGTATCAGATATAATAAATTTATCAGGACCAGAACTTCCTTTTAAAACCTTCCTTTTGTAGAAGAAGTAAGAACAACTAGTTGAAATTATGATGTAGAAATCTTAAGACTTGATTTTCAAGGTTATTCTCTATAACTCAAACACTACCTTAAACTATTGCTTTCTGAAGTTGCTATAAAACCCATAATGTCCAACTGACTGAAACTGGCCTGCTAAACTTCTGTGTGGGAAGGGAGCACTTCTGCCCTGGCTTGCTTTAGACTGCAAATGAATGGAAGCAACCGGGAGTGCAACACTGGCAGAAGAGCTGGATTCAACGGCTCCTGAGCTTACCCACCCCTTGGAGACCCAACAGCTGAAGGATGGAGATGTCAGGGAAGAACAATCAGCTGTAAAATATGAAAAGCTTGCAACATCAGAACATACAGCAGCAGGCTCCAAAGTAATAATCCCATTACCACTAAACTAAAGCACTAATTACTATTCCCAGTGGCTGGAGTGGACTGACTGCTAATGTTCCTCTGGTTAATGAAGGAAGGTGAGGGAGAATATATTTCTTAAGTCAGACATCTGCTGAAATCTGGGCAGCCATAAAAACTGTATGTAATGAAGCCATTCATATTAATGGCAATAACATTTGGAGGGCTGAGCAGGAACAGAATTGGGATGATAGTGCTTTGTAATGCAGAGAAGACAAATGCTGGGTATTCCCTGTGTGATGCCTGCCCCTATTCAATCCATCCTGAATCTCAGAGCCAGTCAAAACAAGCAACCTCATCCCACTTCGGATGTTTCACTAACAGGAACTAACCTGCTTAAAGACAGGAATAATTTCTCTAAAAACATAAAGCAGGACTTACACCATTGGAAAAGAAATAAAGAACATTTTATTTTCACTGACTACAAGTACACTAAGAGAAATACTCCCCAATACTCTGTTTTGTGAAGAATCCAAATTTTCCTGTAATGCCTTGCCTTTTCATCAACCAGTAGTACATTGTTGAAGGTTCAAAGATACCCATTTACTGCAACAGATAGAGTCTGATAAATGAAAGGCATGAAGCAGGAGCCTGCCTGTTCACTTAGCTTGACATGGGTCTGGCTGCCATGCTCAGAACTGGAGTGTTTGTAACTGATAATCAATTCAGACAGATGGCACATGGCCTGTGGAACAAGGGGCTTAGGGAGAAAAATGAGTTTCCCTCTTGACATTGAAACAAGATACACTGTGCTTAGCAAGAAGGTGATACCACAAGGGGAATCAGACCAAAGATGATCCCTCTTGTGTTCTGACCTGTTGGAACAGGGAGGTTTTAGGAAAATAACTTTCATCAACTCCAGAAAAAGAAAACAAACATTTGTTCCAGCAAATGCATAAAGACATCTCACACTCCATTGTTTTTCTGTTTCATTCTCTTGCCAGGTACTGTGCACTCTCCTCCAAAACAGAGCTCACTTCCTGCCTCCACTCGCTTTTTCCAGCACTTCTTCCTGTTTCATTTAGTAAACAGGGCAGTACCAAAAAACATACTCTCATGTACTCAGCACAAAGTTTGCATATAATGGCTACAGAATGTGACTCCACAGAGAATGCCAGGCATTCACAAGCACACAATTTATAGAACTAAAATAAACTACTTAGCCAAACTGCTATTAATGATTCATCCATCCATGCAAATGTTCTCAGGTGAACTGGGTGTGCTCAGATATTTTTTTGATTGCACCAGTCTTTCCTTGGCAGTTCTGGTTCTACCTAAGTTTGTTACGACGCAGCTGAGCCTGTAAGGTAGGTGTGGCCTGCAGAGAAAACCTATAAACTATATCGAGCAAACCAGCTCCAAGACCATTTGCCTCTTCTCTGAATAAAAATACCTGTGTGCAAACTTATTCTCAACTTATAGCAGACATGTTTCTCTTGAAAAGATAACCTGCTGATTGCTTTTGCTATTGCCCACACTGGCTACATCCTTCTCCAGCTGGGTATGCTTTATGCTTGTATTTATTTAACTCTTTAAATAGATTTCTCTTCCTCTTACTTGAGGTTCCCCTAAATGTTGCCCAAAAGACCTTGGTAACTTCAGCTACTTACAAAGGCTCATTTTCAAAAGACCTTGGTAACTTCAGCTGCTTACAAAGGCTCATTTTCCCAAGACTCTATTGCAGTAACTACAGATGTGTCCAGGCTGATTATGCATTAGAACAAAGCCCCCAGCAATGCTCAGCTGCATGCCTATTGCCCGCTATAGACAAATTTTGATCCCACCATTATGATTCTAGTTGTCAGCTGAGCGTCTTCCTAAATTAAATAATTCCTTGGATTTGATACTATTTGCTTGATAACACAATCTTTGTGATAAAAATTACTGTGGTCTACTCTAGAAGTTAGATGGGATCTTCTACAGACTTTTCTCTGTATGAGGACATACTGTCCAGTTGCAGACCAGTAAAGACATCTATAGACATACTGCACCACCCCAGGATTCACAAAGGAAAATGGCACTAGAAAAGCCCCCCAAGTTAAATAACTTACCCAAACTTGCTCCAGATTCATATTCAAAACTTGTTGTTGTCCCAAGAAATATTTTACAGCTGTTTGTTGCCAACAGGATCTAACAACTTTACTTAAAAACAAGTAATCAACTAGTTTCATGTGCACCACCTCTTCTCTCAGGATGAGCAAGTTCCTCTTCCTTTTGGCAGAATCCCGTAATACTAATTAAGATGCCATAACAATCATTAAGATGGAGAGACACTTACGGTGACCCGGAAGGGCGTGGTGGCAGGGGGCTCCATGGGGGGATTCCTCTCAGTGCCCCCACTGGGCATGCTGCGCCGCTGCCCGCACCGCTCCGGGGGCGACTCTGCCAGGGGACAGCAAACAAAGGACAGTTACAAACACAGGAGCACAGGGACAGCCCAGGAGCATCAGCAGGCCATGCAAAACGTGGCTTCTTCCTTCGAGATGCCCTTGCAAATGGGTCAACACAACCACCCCACTGCACCTGCTCGGATTTCCCACAGCTGCCTAGAGCAACATTTCATTCAGCAAGAATTTCATCTTCAGCAATTAGCAGGTGATTATATGATGCTATGATCCTATGATTCTGTGATTCAACAATTAGCAGGTTTTATACAACTGTAAGTTTCAGATAATGCCTGACAGGTTGGCAGCAGCATCATTTCCAGTCTGCAGGTGGGTAAACAGAAAACATATTGAGCTGACTTAGAGTTATACACCAAGTACGGATCCATGCACTTGTGGACTGGACGCTCCTAAGGGAAACTGCCAATGGGGTTGCAGGCACAGGAGCCTTAAGTTCTCTCTCTAAGTCCTCCAGCCATTTTTTGGTCATATACTGACACACATTGAAATGTTGTCCTCTGACATCAAATCATGGTCTTCTGAATACAGAACAGTGAAGGCTTTGGAGGAGATAAATGAAGCTCATCCTTTTTATTTATCCACATCCACTGGGCTGGACTTCTGCTGACTGAATTTCTCTCTACCTGTAGGCTTCTTCTGCACAAGTAGTTTCTATCCTTTGTGTCACCTTATTCACAAACTCTTCTGATCTGTAGAAATCCCTACAACTTTTGAAGAAGTCTCTGGATATGTAACACTGAGTTATTTACTAAACAAGACAGAATCCAAGCAAAGACAACAGCAAATAAACAACAATTTTAGAATGACACTGAAAGGCAGGTTTTTCACACAGTTGTTCTCTTTTTAAAAATTATGATAATAAAAATAAATTTTAAAGTGGAGCTGAAATAAACACTGGGGGAACACCTTCTACTGCCCAATTTCACAAGCAATAGGCATACCATTGAACATTCCATCATTGCTAGGATTTTGGGTTGGGAATGAGAAGAAGAAGAAGAACACCTGCTGCAAAGTGAAATCAAAGGAATGCTTCTATAAATTAAGATGCAAAGAAATCTGAAGATGGAACAACCTACACTTCAGAATGGCTCAGAAACTGATGTAACCTAGAGGTGGTTTGTTTGCCAGTTCTCAGTCTCTGATCTCCAATTTGCTGCCATCAGGTCTTGGCAAGGAGAGTTGTCCCCTTAACAAGGTTCTCCCTTTGCCAAAGGCTGCCATCACCCGAGATCTATAAGAAACAACTAATACCTGCAGTTCCACTCAACAGCTCCTGAGATGAATCTTTAACTAAGCAAAAAGGACAGGCTGAGAGATCCCACCCATGGACTGGGTGAAGTGCCTGTTCAGTGACATCTTCCTTGGTTGCAGATCCTGCCCATAATTCCACACCAGCAGCCACATAACCTGTGGGAGAGCCAGAGAGCCCAAATCAGGCAGTTCATTGCCTTCACAGCTTTCAGAAAAACCTTCTCATTTCTTGGCCACTGTCTTTGCAGAATGCTGCATTTGGACTTTCAAGGAGGTGATCAAGTCCTTCGGTGTCATCTCCTTCCACACTACGGTTCCCACCCCATTCCTTTCAACAGTGGCCTTCTTTATTTTTGGACTGACATAAAGAAACTACATGATCACAGCATTTTGGAAGTGAGTTCAAGATGACAAGACAGCCAAAGAAGCTTCTTTGCATTTTCTTAATGAGCAGAAAAATAAAAGTTGTTTAAAGCATTTCTCATATACATGGCTGGGAAACAGGAACGATGGGATCACGTGAAAAGCTGCTGTGAGAAATGGCAGGCACTGAGCTGTGCTGCCCAGCCCAACACACCTCCTGCCTTCAGCACAGAGGGTGTTCCACTTGGTGTTCCACACAGGCTTTCCAGCACTGCTGACCTGCACCACAGTGGTTTGTCAGACCAAGGCACACACTTGTCTCAGTAATCTGACAATCTGCTTCCTCGTTCAACCCCACAGGTCAGACCTCTTCAGAGAAAGGCAGAGTGTTAGCACCCAGGGCTGATTGATACCTGGGTCTGATTGCACTGAAGTCACAAACTGAAATTCTTCAGTCACAAACTGAAGTCTGAAATTCTTACTTCATCATTAAAAGATACCTGAAGCAGAACCAGCAAACACACCAGTGTGACCCAGAGCAACATCCAGAGCTGGGTTAGGACCTCAGGCTTCCTGCTATTCTTAAGCTTATGGTTCATAAAGTATCAAGTCAAATCTCCATTTTAGCTTAGTTTAAGCAGTGTGGGTATCACTGGAGAGGAGAGGCTTTGCAGGAGAGACTCGTGACAAACACTTTACAAGAAACCAGAAATAACTAGAAGGAGGGTTGGGCGTAGGGGTTTGGGGCGAGCGGGGAGGGCTGTTTTAAAGGGAAGCAAAAATAGCTTACAGGTAAATCAGTAACTCCTAACTACCAGAAATCTATAGCTGAACAGTTCTACATACCAAACAGCATAAATACATAAAGGTTGGAATTCTTGAGGGTTAGAGGAAAAGTCTTAGGCCAGTTTACTCTGCCAAGACACTGGCAATGTCTGCTTCAGCAGGCCCACAGCAGCACCTGGGAAAGGTCGTCGTAAGGCAATCATAAAAACTCTCTCTGAAGCCACTAGAGGCTGAAGAAGAAATGTCTTCATTTACAGCAGAAGATATTTAGGTTAGCCATTGGAAAAAGTCTTCTCTTGACACGGACAGTTATACATTGGAATTGATTGCCTAGAGAGATAAATATATGTTTGAGCCCATCTTAAACCTGAAAACCTTTCCAGCCTCATTTTCTGTGTTTTCTGAAAAATCTGTCCATTTGTGCATAAGACGAGAAAGTTACAAGAGATCAGATTCAGCATCTCATTTCAGTCTTTGCCTCACAACCTCTAACACATCTTCCTCCTCTCCTGGACTTCCACACCATTCCAGGCTGAATGGACTATGGTAGTTCTGGCTCACCTCGCAATAGCACACAGCGTCCAGGGTCCTACACTGACCTCTGTTACTGACTCATAGTGTGACCCTTGGACATTTTAATGCTTTTTATCAGATTCACAACAATTTGATAAAAACCTTGAAAATCCCATGGGAACACTGCAAGGTTTCATTAATGAATGTCCGCCATTGATTTTGTATCCCAAGATAAAGGACTGGAGAATGAGGAACAGGATTACTGCAGGCAGCTAACCACGGAATGACATTTCCAAAAGCACTCAGTATTAGCAGATAACATCCTCACTAGAAACTGAATTTCTCTGATAGCTGAATGCTATCCCTCAGCTCATAGAAATTCCAGGATTATACCTTCATTTGTCCATTTATTTGCTGTATATCAGATTTGATCTGGGGACTTAAACACACAGTATCTTGGGACACTATTTGCTGTCCCGAAGACCTCAACTTGTTATGACCTTAAAACCTCCAGATCTTTCTTTTATGACACAGAGGCCTGAAAATCACTGAAGCAACAGTCTATTAAATGAGGATTATAGTGCAGGCATCCTGAATCTCCAAACTGCTTCCTAGGGCATAGTGAGGAAAGGCAGGTTACCGAGCAGTAGAAATGCCAGTGTGCAGAAGCAGGTGCCCACAGAAGGGGATAGCTCTGATTCTCCACCATTTCCACCAGCCCACAGTGCAATATCCAAATAAAGGATGGGAGAGATACAGACGAGCAATTAGACATTGTCTAATTACTGTGGGACAGCTGAATCATGCAGGCCCACCTAAGTATGTCACCTCTCCCTTTAGAATTAAAAGTCTCAAAATTACACTGGAAAAGGTTCATAAGTCACCCTGAGGAAGACTGTGGCCATTCTGATCTAAATTCTTCATGTAATTTTCTCCTCATTGTTGACAGCATTTCTCCTGCCCTTTTCCAAGCTTGCCCAATGGTAACCAGGCCATTCTGCTCATACTCTGCTTTTCGCCCACCCTCGATGCTGCAGAACCCTGCTCCCCTGGATCTCCCAGTTCTTTTTTGATGAACATGTACTCAGTGTCCCCAGAAACAGCCCTGTTCCGTTTCTCCCAGACACTGTGCTGGGGCTCATCCACCTTATGCAATCACAGAAGAAAGAAAGAAAAAACAAACAAAAGTGCTTCCTGCTTTTCCAAATATTTACAAAAGTCTGCAGTGTTTTGGGTTTCCCCCAAATCTTCAAAGAGAAACTTCCTTGCAATTATCAAACCCCTGAAACCTCTCCCAGGTTATCACACAGAGCTGGGTCCAAAATGCTGCTTGGTGTGTAACACACTAGGATTTTTTTTAAGCTGCCAGGGTTAGTGCCCACACTGGCACAACCCTGTAAACATTGCACAGCCACTGAGGACCCAGAGCCTCTGAACATTTCTGAAACTGTACAGCAGTAAAGACATTTGATTTGTTAACTAATTCAAGGTATGTTAATCGATCAAATAAATACTCCTTACTGCACTTTTCCCTGCCTGTTCTGCATGCTGCAGAACAGTTACAGAGCAGTGCAGCAATTCTGCCCCAAGGCTTCCAGGACATTAGCAGCAGAACAAGCTGTGAGGAACTTCTGGCACTCCAGCTCTTCTTTAACCCGCTCAACATCACTGCTCCCTTTCTTGCAGCTTCTCAGACACTGCTACAGAGCAGGTCATTATGTGTAGCAAACACACCAACAAATATTAACACAGTTTACTTATCACTTAGCAAGTGAGATGTTGATACATTTGCATTACCTGCTCTTGTGAATCACAGCTAGTCCAAGAGATCATCAGGATTATGCTCTCATCAGTGGAAATTAAATACATTAACTCCTGTTTGTTCATTTCTTGTCACGCTCTTCCCCTTTCCTGCTCTCCTCTCACAAGCAATTCCAGGGATCAGCCAGTGGAAGAGACAGAATGAACAAAAGCAAAGAGAACCAGCTGGAAAGAATAACTAGCAAGTAGGCACTTCCCTGCAACTTGATTTTCTGACACGAAACTGCTCCAACCCCAAACAAG